CCCCCCCCCCCAAAGTAGCCACTTTGTCAGGCATGAAATGAAGCCTGTAGTGGTCCTGTTGTGGCTTTTAAAAAATGTTTATCAAATGAAACCGATTTTTTTCCCTTTGTGTATCATAATTTTACCATGACTGTGACTGGCTTACTCTTGTTTTGTTTATTATTAGTTATACTTATTTGTCCATTTTCATCATTTGCTTTTTAAGGTGATTACAGAGGGAGCTAAAGCATCCATTTTGCCTTTAAATACTCCCCCTGTGATTTAATGTAAACTGCATGTGCACCATCCAAAGCACAGTGTTCGGTGGACAACTGTAGCGCGATTCATTAATGATAATTTACAGTGTATTATGCTGAATATGCAAATACCTGAAATATGTGTGAGTAACAAATAAAACTGAGTTACTGGATGAGGTTATTATATTATGTTTTTAAGTGATTTTATTCCACAAACCAGCTAACGTGGCGTTATCAGCGCCGTCATGTTCGACATCCTGATGTTTTCTCGCAGCTGGCTGCGATTTCGTTTCTGGGTTCATACGCGGAGCGTGCGGGTGGACAGAGTGAATCCAGAGGACATTGCGGGGGGGCTGCCGGCGATAAGTTAGCTCGCTCGCACGCCCGGATCTTTGCACTTTCAGGCTATTTGGTATTTCAAAACCAGGTGCGATCACATTAATCAATGTGCGTGACCGGAATTGCTCACTGCATGTCCCATGTACTTGTTGGTAAATCTAAGTAGCAGTGTAGGCCTATAAAACAGTATATTAATATGACATAGACAAATTTGAAGAATGTGTGATTGCTTCCCTGCTCAAACTAGGTCAGTCCCACTGTGGCGGCATAATCGATTTGGGCGTGGTCATGCGGAAATGACAAACCAGCAAGTGTTAACCAGACGACGAGCCCAGCGCACATGGATGACACGTCTGTCTATTTTTGCTGTTTATGGGCTCTAATGAAATGTCTTACATGCCCTTTAACTACAGCATTATATTAAGTATTTTTTCTTCAGAAATAGATAAAAAAATACTGGGCAAAGATCTGCTGCTGAAGCCCCGGTGTTGTGATCAGGACTAGTTCCAGTACAGACACAAAATTGTCAGAGGCTTTTGGCAAAGGAGCTGTTTGAATGAAGTTTAGAGAGTCCTTTATCACTTTTAATCAATAACATTAGCAAAGTGAGGTAAGGCGTCTATTTTTCAAATTTCGACTTGTGTGTCGGGGTCCAGCGCTGACGTGTTCGGTGGCCGTCCTGAGATGGGGTGACTTGATTTCTCTCCAATGAATGCAGGCCCTGAAGACTGGTACTGTCTCTGACTGAAACCTCTGAAACAATGGAGATGCCCAACCAACAGATGAGCTTCACGATTCTCCCGCTGACACTACAGAAAGCTCTGAGACTGCAAACATGTCCATTAGAAAGACCGAGGAAAGACAATGTGGGAGAATACTGAAAAAGGCTGCACGTGAACTGTGATCTGCAACAACAAGAGTGCAACAGTGTATCACAACAAGACGATCTGGGAAAGGGCAGCTCAGCAAATTATGACCTCAGAAGACCCCTGCCTCTGAAACGAGCGCGAGAAGAGAGTTTGCCATGTGCAAGAAGTCACTTCTGGTTTTCATCACCCAGAAATCCATTCATGTGTGGACCATGGTGAATCTTTTAGCCAATTAAAGACCCTGAAACAGCATCAGCTCATCCACAAAATGGAAAAATTAAATCTAACTTTCCTTCCTATGGCAAGACTTTTAATCACTTAGGAAGCTTAATACAATATCAGCAAATTTCACAGGAGAGAAATCTTGTACCTGCTGTGAGTGTGGAAGGAGTGTTTGGCAAAAAGACACCTTGGGGGGAAAACGTCCCATCTTATGGTGAAGGTGGTGAATAAGCTTTGGTCTTTTAGAAATTTGAAATGCTCCTAAGAGCGAACATACGGGGAAGAAACCATATGTTTTTATGTCCCGTGCTCTGTGCTCTGTCTTGGGCTGATACCCTGCCCAGCGTGTCCCCTGCCCTGTGCCCTGTGTTGGGCTGATACCCTGCCCAGCGTGTCCCCTGCCCTGTGCCCTGTGTTGGG